GGAAAAGGACATGTGGTCCAGATTAGTTCTTCTCTTCGAAACAAATTCTAACTAGTAACTACTCGTTTTTCAATATTTTTTCAACACTTCTAATCTCCGTGAAGTTAAAGTGGAAAAACTAATTTGGGACGGATGGAGTACAGGTTAACCTGGAAATGAGATGATGGATGCATATATGTTTGTTCTTGAACTCCATGATGAAACTTTTAAATTCAATTGGTCTTATTGGCAAGTCATGCACGTGTTTTACTTTGCTCATTGTTTCTTCATACTATATTAATTTTGTTTTCCAGGTGGTGGCCACAGTTGCTTCTTGGACAGCGATGAAGCTAGGACAAGATCAAGACGGAAAAAGTTCTGGGAAAAAGCAGTTGATACTGAGGAACTTTGCGGGCCAGGGGAAGCGTGGTGGGGTGTTAGAGGATATATGCGGGACGATTTTAACCACAGCAATAAAGCAATAACCTATCCCGACCATTTTCAAAACAGCAGGTTTGTAGAATCAGTACTCGATTTATATTGGGAACTTCCTCCTGTAGCTGGCCCCTCCTTAACTCATCAAATGAGATATGATCCTGCTCGTGTATCAACTCCCATTGTTGAAGATGGAAGATACGGATTATTCCAGAGACTTGGTTTATCCAGACTTGAGACTTCTGTGTTTAATGGATACACACAAATGGTGTACCTTCAGGTCTCTCCTCAACAATCTTAGTTCCCTTGACCCCCCCCCCCTCCAATTCTCCTCTCTTTGGATGTACTATCTGACACAGTTTATTTCTGTCAATATTCATTTGCACAATTTGACACATTTTTTTCTAGTTACTAATTATTATGGGCTTACGGGAACATATATTCAAGAACAAAGCTATTTGTACTTTACACCTTAAGTTTTGAAACACGTGCACAACTCTTGACGGTGCACCCAAATTTTGAAGTTTAAACTACATACAAGTCTTGACGGTGCGAAATAAAGAAAAGAATACTTGTCTTTGCGAGACAAACAAGAGACATTTTTGCATAAATGTGGTGTACATGTAACATAGTTCTATATTTAATTGGTCACTCTTGTGAGGTGACATTACTTTTTTTAGTGAGGTGATATAATTTAATTTTGCTGAAAAAAAAGAGAGTTTGATGTTTGTTCCATCCCTATTTTTCTATGCATGAGCCATGAAGCAGTATGGGCTCATGGAGATATATATCCATATCCCAGTGTAGCACATCACTTGGGTAAATTGAGCCATTATTGTATATCTTTTGCAACTTTACCAGACTGCCATATTGAAGAATTCGAACTTAAAAACTTTGCTTCTCTTCATGTTTGACACTCCTGTTTGACACTCCTTTCGTTTCTATGCTCTTCGCCGCGGGGCATTGCACAATTGGTAAAAGCAAGGAGTGCAAAAGTGGTAAGACTTGATCTCGATTCCTGAGAATTGTGCTTGGAGGCAATTATGCTAAACATAGGGCCTTTAAGTACCATGTACATGCTCCATTCTTTGTCATTACTCTGCGATCAAAATCTAATTTACCTTCTCTCAGTGATCGTACGGTTGAGTCTGAGGGAACCCTCTGGGATGTGGCTCATCCTTTTTTTATTGATATTATTCTCTTTCTCCATTAGGATGTCTGGCAATTGAATTAGCATTTTTGTCTGGGAAAAATTGAAGCAAAATTTATACTCGGTAATCCTTTATTATAATACATGAGACTCATCTCACAAGAGCTTGACATGCAGAGTACCCATTGGCAATTTTTTGACATATCACTATGTCATGTAATTAGGCAGTAAAACTAAATGATGGTTGTACATGTAATTAATGGTAAATTATATGAAATACCTAATGTTAGTTCCATGGTGTTGGCTAATATTTTGGCAAAATAGAATCCCATATTTGTTAGATGTTTTACTAGGTAAGAACCTCTATTTGTTAGGAGAGGTTTATTTTATTTAGACTTCTAGAGCTGCTGCAGTTTTCGAGGTTGACGCAGAAGATGCTACAACACAATGCTGCAACACAGTGTGCGGGATCAGAGGTCTGAGCACGGGATTTTAAGCTGCAATTTGAATTAGAGACCTATTGGGATTCTGATTACATGATAATAACTTCAGCTGTACATGCTAAGGAATCCCAACTCTTTAGGCTACTTGTGGATCAAGATTAAGGAAGTAGAGTTCAAGCCAACTTCTACTATCCTATTACTACTAGGATTGTGTTAAGAGAAGCCTATAAATACGCAGCAGGTCCCTGGGAATTACTCGGAGCGATTGAGAGGGAAAATACAGAATATACGCTGATGTAGAGCGTTCCCGTCGTGTCCCGGAGCTTCCCATGCATGAAGAAGGTCACGTTCTACATGAAGGAGGAGATCTTCAACGCCAAACATATCGTGACAACCAGGAGATGAACCAGAGCTTAAGGAGAGGGCTGCCAACACGTTTGTCTTCGTGATCTCGGTGGAGATATGATAGCCGAAACGGATCTGAATAGAGTTCAATTCGGGTTAGAAATCCTAGATTAGAAGTTTTGTCATAGAAATTCGGAGAAGGGTGTCTCATCATGTTGTTATGTACCGGTGTAACTTGCATCTAGTGATTTAGTGGAGAGCTATTACACGGACGTGGGCCCCGCAGACTAGGAGAATTTGCTCCGAACTGCGTAAACATATCTGGTGTTATTTTTTACGCTTTTTACAGTTACAGCATTCTGCCCAGTAGGCGCTGTAACACCCTCTGCATCATCTGCTTCTGTGTGCGTGCTTGTGACAGAGAAGTGCTATAGCACACTGTCCGTTATCTGTTACTGTGACAGTGCTGCAGCGTCTTCTCTACAGCATAGTATATTGATTTGTTTGCATAGCTCTTAATTGGTGATTTCCGCTGTGCCCCCACGAACTTTCACCTAACATATTAACATGCGGAGATTAGAAACTCATGAAGGTAATTCATCTTTAGTTACGTCTACGCCGCCTAGCATCCTCTCCTTTCTTCTGATTTCAATTACAATTTTTGATCGATATCAATCTTTAAGATACTCCATCTTCTCCATCTTCCTCATCTCCTTTCTACAAATTTCTACGGAGTATAAAAATTTAAATTCATTTAGATTTAATTACACATATTTACCAATCTTTTCATTCTTCTGCAGAAAATCTTTAATATCATTTTAAACGATGGTTGAATTTCAGATCGTGAATGAGAAGAGCACGAACATGGTATGGTCGTATCTTTAATTAATTTTTTATTCAATTCCTACAAACTAAATTTAAAGTTACCAATTTTATTAAATAAATTCATTATAGAAATTCTCGCCTTAATTATAATTAATGATATCTTTTCACGACATATTTATTGCTAGAGTCACAAACCAAATATTCACAAAATGCACAAACTTACCCAATGTATAAAGTAATGGTTTTAAATAATGGTCTCAATAATTAGCGTAAAAATAAAAAGTTAAATACACAAAGTTTGTACATTTTGTGAGTGTTTGTTTGGAAATCTAGCATTACTTTTAAAGAATGTAGAAAATCAAGCATTGCTATATTCTTTTAATTTATTCAAAGGAGAATTTTTTTTATGCTGATACCATGTAATATAGAATGCAGAGTATGCTCATGCAGAGTATATCGATTTGAATATCCCCTATTTACAACAACAACAGGAATTTACTTCCCGCCTAAATTCAGAGCGGTCTTCACCTAGTTGGGTCGGATAATTTAAGGTACTAATCGAAGCATGTAACCGCACATTATATCACTAAGAGCCTATTCTTTAGAGCTTGAACTCTTAACTTCCAGTTTCTTTCAGTTCTTTCCAGTTTCTTCCAGTTCTTTCCAGTTTCTTCTACTTCCTTCCAGTTTCTTCAAAATACTCTCATTTTCTTCAAACTTTTTCTACTACTCAACCAATTACTCTAAAAACAATATATTTTAATGTGATTATATTATTATTATTATTATTATTATTATTATTATTATTATTACAACTCTTATGTTCATAACTATACTTTATAAATTATTTTTTTCATCTCACTATTTTTACGTTTCACACTCATTATTTTTTTCTTCAACTTTTTAATATGAATAAGACAATTTTTTGTATATTAGTCTATATGATAAAACAGGAAAACATAAATATGTTAAATTATATTAAAATCATTATGGATAAAATAGTGACATTGAATGTTTTATTAATCTAACCTTATATAAGACATCTCACCTTTCCCTTTATCACTTAAAATTTGCTCATTTTTCTAATTTTTATTAAAAAAAAATTGTAAGTCAAAATACTTTGGAGAAAGAGACCAAAATAGGAGTAAAACATAAAAAATGTATTAAAAAAAGTTCTATGTATTTATTCCAAAAATAGGATTTCAATTAAAATAAAATGTCAATCATGAAAGAAAAAATAGGTTTGATTACATTATGTGACATGTTTGATATTTTAAACAAAATCTTGTAATTTATAAAGTATAATTACAAATATATTATTTATAATAAAGACTGCATAAATAAATTGAGGTGCAATATAACCACAAAGACTTTTTAAAGTTTAATATTTTTATATTTATGCTAACTTTATATTATAATTATTTTTTTTGCAAAGGTAGTTTTTTTTATTTAAAAAATAACAATATTTTTTTTGTATCTTAAAGGCATTCATTAAGATAACGTGATAATGATGATGATTATGGTCATGATGATAATGATAATAATAATAATAATAATAATAATAATAATAATAACAACAACAACATTAATAATAATAATAATAATAATAATAATAATTTATAACAACAAGAATTTAAAATAAATGATTTTTAAGTTTTCCAATTTTTTGAAGTTTTTCCAGTTAATTCCAGTTTCTTTCAGTTTCTTCCAATTTTTTCCAGTTTTTTCTAGTTATTTCCAGTTTCTTCCAACTTCCAGCTCTTTTTTTTCCTCCAGTTTTAAAGAGAGACTTAAGTATAGAGTAACAGAACGTATAAAGGGCAGATCTATCCCTCAACTTCCTCGGTTTCTCCACACGAATTTTATTTAAATTCAGGTCATTGAAGCCGCTGCCACGCTAATTTCATCTTAAATTTTGGTCACTTAAGCCACCTTTGCCGCTGCTAGCGTAGATAGCCTGATCCCGCACCTCAATTGCGTCGCGTATTCAAAGGGTTTTTCGCCACGCAGCTGGTTCAAACACCGCAGGTGGGGTAAAATTCTGGGTTGACGATGGACGGTGGCAGTGCAGCTAGACTGTTGTATGAGCAATACCACCTGTAGGTCTTTTCTTCTTCTTCTTTCAAGGTGGTAGCAAGGTTAGCCCTAGATATATGAGTCTTCTTCTTTCTTTTCTATTTATATGGAATTACATGGCTATAATTTTATTTACTAATTAGATTTAAGGATGGCCAATTCTTTTTTAAAAAGTGGAAAGTATTTTCATTTTTTCTATCTTTAATCTCAAAAAATTTTGCACTAGATTGTTATTAAACTAGAGTTCCCCCCCTTTTAGTAGAAGGATAGTACAACACATTTTTATGGGATTGGAAGCAGTTAATTTAACCTATATGCAGATATACTTCTCTTCATTCTTTTAAAGATAATAGAAATGATTGAGTAATGTCCATGGTTTTGAAATATTGAAATGTGTGATAAATGTTCAATCAATCTTTGGCTTTGAATCTTATCCCAGCTTTCAAGCTCCCACTTTTTTGAGATGATATTGTGCCAATGCGAGAGATCACTGGATTAAGCAGTGCAAATTTTTGAATATATTTAATTAGTTTTCTTCCCACGGGTAAGTATGCCGAGGAGCAGCCTTTGCACATTGGTGAGGGTGAGGTTAGGCTACTGTGTTTCCATTCTTTTCGTCAACAGTTGAAAAACACTAGAATAATGATATTATAAGAATCTTTATTTTTGTAATTGTTCAAAAGTTACACTTCTTTTGTAGTTTTATTTTTAAATTTGAATATGCAATTTGATTGGCTTTTTAATCCATAATTGAAATCAATTTTTGAATATATTTCTTTTTTAGAATCTTTTTTACTATGTTTTTTTCCTTTAAGTTGTAAGATTTGCAACAATAAACTCACTTTATTTAGAAATGGAAACGAAATCTTTTTTAAAAATGGTTTTTTATCCGTTTTTTCTTTTCTTTTTTTTTTTAAATTAAAATATTTGAGTTTATCAATTGAACATCCCTCTGCCATTTTCTACCATTAGTTCTTTTTCCTATTCTATCCCAGCAAATTCCTATGGGTATTCTTTGGTCGCATCATTCAACCTATTTCATCTTATTATGTGTTTGAAGTATTGCAGGTAGACAAAGAGTCAAGCTGCTAAGAGATAGGCAATGTGATTGAGTTTAATTTTCTTGAATGACGATATTGTTTGCAATGTGAGCAGGAGACTTAGATGTTGGTTTTGATGAATTTCCAGTAGATTTAGGCTCCGTTTGGTACACGGAATTCAAACTATGGAATTGGAATTAAGACTTCAATTCCAATTCTGGTGTTTGGTAGCACAAAAATTATGTGAATTTGGAATAGATAGTGCAAAAAATGAATTGGAACTGGTGAATTCAATTCTATGGAATTGAATTCCATGGAATTCCAATTCCAATTCAATTCCATTTCCATCAATTCCGTATACCAAACGGACCCTTAATCATTTTGGCATTGGCAGGAATTAGTTTACATAGTGGGAAGGTTAGGAGTAAAATCTCTAGCCTGTATATCAAGGTACTCCAGTGGAGTCTTATATCTCTCTTCTTTCATCATTGTTCCCAATTTTTTTTCCTGCTTGATCTTCAATTTCATATTTAAATTCTCAATATATGAATAACTAAGTTCAACTTCTAGGCATATGATGAATTTGAAGTTTAAAAGTGGGAATGACTACCCACTGATATATGGGATTCTTTTGCTCCATGGGAGAGTCAATTAAGAAGGGAACCTTTGGGAAATATTCAGATAAGTTCATCACAAGCAAAGCTGATACATCTTTATATTGCTTTAGCTTTAGCAAACTAACATTCATCAGTACCTTTGGGGTGTCATGTCGGGACTCCTAAGTTGATATTTTTACAACGTCATACATTGGTAATGTCTAATTCACTGATGAAATGTTCTTTAAAATATTGATAAAAAGTAAGTACTTAGGCATTGTTTAAAAAGAGTGATTTCATTTTTGTTTACTCTTATCTAGGATCTAATGTTTATGATATGTCAATGCAATATAGGAGTTTGGTTGAACAATACACTTCCATTTTCAATTGCAAATGCTTAGTTGATAGCCATTTGATTTTTTTTGTTTGTGAATATACCCCTAATTTATGCTCTTATTATTACACCACACCAAAGCACTCTCTTTAGTTTGGATGAATCTCATCATGCTGTTACATCAATCCCAACAGAATTAGATGATTAGTAGATGGTAATGGAAGGAAATTGGAGCACACATTTCATGACTAAACAAACCCTTCTATGATTTTTATTACGGGGACCTCTGCCATAGATTTATCCGGGAATGATCTCTAGACCTTTGTCATTGTTAAATATGTTATGTATATATTTCATATTAATTATGTGATCATTGTATTTATGGTAGCTTACATGTATAGGTTCCCTTCCGTAATTAAGAATCTTTTGTAACTATTTATACGAGGCTTCGTCCTCCATTATTACGGAGTATTCAATAGAAAATAACAATTCTTCATGGTATCGGAGTCTCTCGTTGCTCTCCGCCTCTCGTCCGACCTAGCGTAGGCAAAACCCTAGTCGCGCCGTCGCCACTCCTCTCTCTCAGCCGAACAGCTATCAGCCGCCGAGCCACCCTCCTCCCTCGGCAGTGCTCAGCCGCTGTCTCTCCCCAGCGACTTCCTTCCCATCGGCGAGCAACCCTCCGATCAACATGTCCGAGAAAACCTCGGTCACCGGCACGACGTCCTCTTCTCCAACTCCACACTTGGCATTCACGACGATCTTGAACGTGAAGCTCCATGTGCCGATTCTCCTAAGCTTCTCCGAGCCTAACTACAAAAAGTGGAGCCGGCTCTTCCTCCTCCTTATTCGAAGGTTCTCCTTGGGTGATTTCCTCACCGGCAAGTCGTCCCCGTCTAGCGCCGACGACTCGGAATGGTTCCAACTTGACACTCTCATACAAGGTTGGATTCTCTCAACGGTTAATGATGAAATCTGCGATCTTGTTCTCTCCACAACCAACTTCGCATCCGAGCTTTGGCGAGCCATCTACAACATCTTCCACGACAACAAGCCGGCCCGGGTGATGCAACTTGAACACCAATTCCGCACCACCACGAAGGGTTCTCTCTCCATCGCCGCTTATTGTCAAACCCTACGGAATCTTGCGGATTGGTTGGATGATGTAGATGCCACCATCTTTGAACAACAACTTGTTCTTCAAGTCTTGCGTGGCCTCCCGGATGATCTTCGAGCACAAACGTCATTCCTTCAATACCAAACGCCCCCGACCTTTCTCCAAACCCGCTCGGCCCTCCTCTTAATTGAACAACAACGGGCTGAATTGGGCGTCGGTAGCATCACGGGGGATGGCGGCACAGCGTTATACGCCGACAGTGGAGGCCCGCGGTGGCATGGCAGCGCCGGTTGCGGGCAGTCGGAATCCAGCAGCGGGGGAGGCTTCGGGCAGCAGCAGCAGTACTCCCGGCACCGTGGCGGTTTATCTCGGGGTCGTGGTCGTGGCCATAGCTCCAGATCTAATGCACGGAACACCCTCGGGCAGCCCTCGGGACAGTTCACCCACCCAAACCCTAACCCGGGCCTTCTAGGCCCCCGGCCAAACCCCTACCCGCA